CTAGGATATACAACTACGTGCTGGGGCTTTGGGGAGAAAAAGAAATAAAAGGAGGAAGATTGGCAAAAGATGTTAGCTCAGGACTAATCTTCCTCACAAAAAAAAAAGCATACCTTAAAAAAAGGTATTACTATTGACACTTTGAGTGTTATATTCTGTATTATTGATAAAAAACTTTTTAGGAGCCCATTTTTTCTTATTTATTCATTCTTGCAATTTTGAAGATCCTTTCAGGACTGTTTTATGCCAATAATAATGCTGGTTGGAGGGAGAAACAACTTGGAAACCTGTAGTAAGGTCACTATCTTTTTTCCTTTCTTGTTTTTTTTTTTTTTTTTTTGAGGAAGATTAGCTCTGAGCTAACATCTGCTGCCAATCCTCTCTTTTTGCTGAGGAAGACTGGCCCTGAGCTAACATCTGTGCCCATCTTCCTCTACTTTATATGTGGGACACCTGCCACAGCATGGCTTGACAAGCAGTGCCATGTCTGCACCCAGGATCTGAACCGGGAAACCCCGGGCCACTGAAGCAGAACGTGAGAACTTAATTGATGTGCCACCAGTGGGGCCCCGTAAGGTCGCTACCTTACCTCAAAACCCTTGTATTCAATTTACTTTCAGAATAGCGTTTTACTCATCACCAGTACTGCATATGTATTTAATTAATCAAGTCAAATGTAGTATAGTTATTATGTGATAGTTATACTGTATAATGATGGAATGAAATAGTACTTCCCATTAAATGATTAGTCTGATTGCCAGTACATGACATAATTTCAAGTGTGGAATTTTTGCTTTGGATTGAATTTGATTTATATGTACTAATTTTCCACGCTTGGTTGCATGTCCTCAATATCAAGTGATTTGACATAGATATTCTCATTGATCAGCCGTTAGTTCATTAAAATAGCTAATTTTGCCTTCATGTAAAAAAAATGGAGACGTAAAAATTTCCAGCTAAATGATATTTACCAAATATGAAATATTATGGGGTGATTGAATTATAATTTATATTTCTATCTCCAGGCTTTCCTAATCACTTAGACGGAAGAGAGGAGAATGGAATGTCAACAGCAGTGAACGGACATGGCAAAACGTCAAGTCTCAGGTTTTCAAAATTCAGCTGATTGCACTATCAGTGTCCACTTATGACCCGAGAGAAAATGGAATTTTGGTAAAGGATTATTATTCTAATTATATGATCCAGGCACCAAATCAGAATGAGATTGTTATCACAGTTTCTCTCAGGTGGATTTATTTAACATGTTCATTTCAGTTGTCACATTGATTTGGGAGATTTATACGCAGTTTCTTAAAATCTTAAGCCAAATTTATTACTTAGAAGTTGTATTTTCTACTAGGTTTCCAAAACTTTCCAATTTCCTTCCAGCTGAGTTTCTATATTCTGTAACACCCACTTTAGCAAATATATAGTTTTATTTTGTTCTCAAATTGTTTCAAATGGCTTATTTTCTTCAAATGAATAAATTTTAGGACTATTTATACTGAAGAGATCATCAATATCTTCCACAATAAAAGAAAGAGTCTCATTTACAAAAAAGGGACAAATGTGATAGAGGGTAGTACAGGGTCCTGGTTACTTCCAAAATACTTCTTCACAAAAAAAAAAAAAAAAAAAAAAATAGAAGAAGAGGAAGAAGAGAGGAAATTAATATTCTTGCATTATTTAAATGCAGTTAGGGACGACCTGCTATTTCAGCATTTTGTTTTTTTGGAGCTAATTGTGATCATTTGAATACTGATTTAACTGGCTAAAAATCAATTTGAAATTCCAGTATAGGAAGGTAAGTCAAAGGATGATAGTCATCAAAATAGCTAGAGTAGTAAGAGATGTTCCTGGAGAAAATGTATTAATAAATTTTCGATTTTCAGAATTTCCAGTTTCATTGAATTTATTAAGTTCAATTAATTCCTAATTTAGAGACCTGAATTAGTAATATCAAGAAAGCAATCAAATGCCCTGTATTTTAAACTATGATTTGACATATGCATCTCTCAATATTTTGCTCTAAATAAGATTTTGATGGCAAAGTTATTTTTATTAAAAATTCTCAAGTTCCCAAAGCAATAATGAGCAAAAGTGTTTGCATATAGACCAATTTAGAAAAAATGAAATGTTTATGGGCTGCATTTTTTCCCATACATTGGAAAACATGTATTAAATTAGATCTTTTTGTCTATTGCTTATTGGATACTAATTAACAGCTGGTAATATATGGGGAACAGAAATATACAATATGTGTTGATCGTTTATTCTTTAGATCTGTATAGCACTTTAGAATTTGCTGGGTATGTTTACTTACATTGTATTATGTTATCTTAGACACAGCAGTCAGAGAAAGGCATTCACATTACTTCACTTTCGGGGGAAAGTGGACTCACAGATATAAAGGTTTCAGACTGTGTTACCAAGACAACTGGAAATAAGATAATTTGATCCTATCCAATGGATAGAATTTTTTGCACCAACACCTGCCAGGCACAAGAAGTCCCAGGATAAAACCCTAGGTGTGTACTTCCTTACCTGTGGCTGGAGGCTCTTCTTGCTCACAAGCCAGCCAGGGCAGAGCGAGCTGAGCAATAAAAGTCGCACAGCTGACAATTTCCTTACGTTCCAGGGGATGGTTGTCGTTCAGAGGCCATTGGTCACCATGCATGTTGCTAAGTGGGTTTCTGGGTCTCAGAGGCTCTGGACAGCTGGGACTCCAAGACTTTTCTGGAAAAAGTCCTAGTGGCAATTCTGACTTTTACAGCAAATGTATTGTCTATATTTGCTAAGCTTGGTCATTCTGTGGATGATTGATTTTGGATGATAAATTCTGGTTTTATTTAATTGTTTAGGTATATTACGAAGGTATATGTTTCCTAATGAGTTAGACCTGAATTTCATAAGTGATTCTGGTTTCACCATGAGGCTTGCACGTAATGAGATTAAATACACAAATAGGACATTCATTTAAACCTCAGTGGTGTAGTAAAAAGAGGATAATCCATTCTAGAAAAGTCTGTGTTGGAACCTTTGTCGTTCAGCTTTTCGGTTTATAATCATAGGGAGTTTGACAAACCACTCTGAGCCAGTTTTTTTTTTCCACCAAGAAAGTGGGAATAATACTCCATAACCTAGTGTTGTACATAAAGCAAATATCTGCTATGATACCAGAAAGATAGTGTCTAATAAATGTATATATTTTCTTTTTTTTTTTAAATATTGGCACCTGAGCTAACAACTGTAGCCAATCTTTTTTTTTTTTTTCTGCTTTATCTCCCCAAATCCCCCCGGTACATAGTTGTATATCTTAGTTGCAGGTCCTTCTAGTTGTGGCATGTGGGATGCCAACTCAACGTGGCCTGACAAGTGGTGCCATGTCCGTGCCCAGGATCCGGACCAGTGAAACTCTGGGCCACCACAGCAGAGCGCGCAAACTTAACCACTCAACTACGGGGCTGGTCCCTGTATATATTTTCTATTAAATTTCCTACAATAGCAGAAAGGAAAAAAATCAGGCGACTGAAAAAGAAAATGGAGGGGCCAGCCCCGTGGCTGAGTGGTTAACTTTGCTGTTCCACTTTGGCAGCCCGGGGTTTGCTGGTTTGGATCCTGGGCACAGAGCTAGCACTGCTCATCCAGCCATGCTTTGGCACATCCCACATAAAAGAGCTAGAATGACCTACAACTAGGATAGACAATTATGTACTGGGGCTTTGGGGAGAAAAAAAGAGGAAGATTAGTAAAAGATGTTAGCTCAGCGTCAATCTTCCTCACCAAAAAAAAAGGCATAAAAAAGAAGAAAATCAGCTACCTAGACACTGGTGGAAGAACAATACCTTGTTTATGGTAAGTTGAATAAAAATTTATTGTCTGAACTTCTTGTTCTTAAAATGCTTTGGAATAGAAAACAAACAGGTCAAGAATCCAGAATGTCTGTGTAACATTTTTGTCGTCACTCTTATTGTTTACATTCATGTCATGAGTTCCTCCCTCTGTGCCCTGAGAAATGACTTCATGACCTCAACAAAAAACCTGGGCTGGACCACACATTTGTTTAAACTACAAGAAATGTTTATGAAATATTTAAACAAGAGTTGAGCGATAAATGTCATAAGCACGCTTTACAGATGCTTCCATACAACTAACCAAAAATGCAATTTAAATTCATAGAAAAAAAGTACTCATTACAGATCTAATGTTACAGCTCAGGCAATATGGGAACTCAAATTTCAAACCAACTATGTGACCTAAAATTAGTTTTATATTGAAAGAGTTGCCCTTTAAAATATATTTTAGTTACAGTAGTTTCTCTGGGAGAAAAAAAAAATGTCTATTTACATCTGAATTAGTTATTTTATCATTTATTTTATACCAACTCATTATAATTTGTGAATTCTAGAAATAGCTATTTTATTGACATTGGTAACGTGCTGGAATAACTAGGTTTTCAGTACTTGAAAAGAAAATGATTGTGGAGAGTATGCTGATTATTGGTTATTAGAATGTAGAAAGAGACTGACAAAGCGAGTTGCTAAGGAAATTAAGGGTTTACTTTTTCCATGATGTGCTTATAATAACACTGACTTTTCTGTACGTTTGCTGAAATGGTCTGGTATTTAGCTGGGAAACAGTTTATCTGTTTATTTTAATAATGATAGTGTCTCTAGGAATGGCTTCTAAGTACAGATAACGATCCTATGCCACTGTCATTATGCCATTAACCATAAAAATACAACTGAATACCAAGCACTGTACCTAGTTGGGTTTTCCCTAAAGACTATTGAAAGCAATCTTCAAATGTTTCCATTAAAAACATTTTGGTGACTTTCCCCCAGGTTCTAACAAGCTACATCAAAATAGAAGTCATTTCATGGAAAAAAGGAACCCCACAGCACTTCTTTTTAATAACTGTTGAGCTACAAAATTTTATTGTCATCTTTTGATGTTCCCTCTAGAGGATGTAATGCACAAAAGCATTGCCACGGAACATATAAAATTACAAATGAAATTTATTGTAAAAAGTAGAATGTCTTCTAGACTGGTGTCAGTATTTATTTCATTCATAAACCAAAACCGCAGTATAATATATTCATTGTCAGCGAGTTCATGAGTGTAAATTGCCATACAACGTTATTGACTGATATAAGACAGATATTGAAAAGACAATTTAAATTTACTCTTCCAAACATAAACTGTTCCACAAAAGCACTGTAAAAACTCCTTCAAGATTTTGGGTTGTGCTTGACATTTACGGTTAACTACATAATTTGGTCGTGTCGTAATCCACTGTGTTTGGCAATTTGGCGTTAAATGCCTGCAGAGCTGACAGGATCCTGACCACCTCACTAGTAGACAGCTTGAGTCTGTGACGAAGCAAGCAAGAGAAAAGATCTAGACGACGCTGACCAGGTGGGGAGAGTTTATTTACACGGTCTCTTATCTCTAGAAGTTGCAAAAGTGCTGAGTCCTGGGATCCCTGAGTGTAGGGGTAGTCCAGCTGCAAAATCAGGTCCCGAATTGCTTCAGGGTCAAAGTGCATGCTGTAGCCAAACACTTGAATGTTATTGATTTTCATATAGCCCAGGTTCCGCGAAGGGTCAATAAATTCCAGAGGTTCGTAGTAAATGCTCTCATTGCCATTGGGGCCGTTGGACTTGATGCGGCTTCTCAGGTAGATGTGGACGGTCTCAAAAAAGGTCTTCCATTTGTTCCCCAGAGTCAGGGACCAGTTATAGCACTGCAGGGGGAGGTCCAGCTTAGTCCGCTCCCAGTCTGGAAAGCTGTTTTCATTCACAGGCATAAACCAGCTCTCAGAGTGGCTGCCTCCGAAGGGATTGACGTAGACAGCCAACACGGGCTCCAAGGTGCTGTTTTTAGTTAAGCAAATCTGTAACGACAGCCCCAGGATCATATGGACCAAACTGGACTTGTACTTGTTGCTCTTCAAGGTGAGCAGCATGCGCTTCCGCCAGGAGGGGTCAAACCAGCTGTTGAGGCGCATGTCGTTGCTGATGAAGATGGCGTGGACTTCTATTCGTCTGTCTGTTTTCTGCAACAGGTACTTCATCTCGAGGTCTTGCAGGTCGGTCTCGAAGCCAATGTAATGGTCCGTGGCCTCGGCGACCTCGGGCTTGCAGAGGCCCTGGCTCAGCATGTAGCCCGTGTTGCAGGCGCCGCAGCGGGTGCGGTTGTCGGGGGCGCAGCTCAGGCAGGCAGCGGCGTCGCCTACCGCGCAGGGCAGGGGCGTGGTGCAGGCCACCTGGTCGCTGGGACACGTGCACGAGTGCGTCTCCTCCGAGAAGCTGCCCAGCAGGCCGTTCTCGTTGCAGTAGAGGAAAGACTGGATGCGCGTGAGCCAGTAGGTGGAGGTTCTAGAAACACAAAACAAAACGGAGCTGTGTAAATGCAAAGACATTCTTTGTGTGCTGCAGTAAAGCTCATCTTAGCCGTGAAAGCTTCGCTATCATTTCTTCAGGTCATCTCCAGCCAGGTATTTAACTGTCATGAAAGATCCATGTAGTTCATAAATGAAAAAATTATAAATATTTATATATTTATTAATAAATATATTTAATATTTAAACATGAAAATATATAAATATAAAAATTAAATAGAAATATTCAAAATATTGAAATATTAAACATTCAACTATAAAAATATATATTTGTATAAATAAATTAATATAATTTTTATATAAAGTATAAATTTAATATATTATGTTTATTAATATAACATTATTGTTGTATGTCATATAACATATGTTAATATATAATATATAAATTATAAATTTATATAAAATATAAATTTAAAATTTCTTTAAATAATATATATTATAAATATATACCTTATATATTTATATCTGTATATTGTATTTATAAAATTTATATATAAAATTTATGTATTTTATATATAAAAGAAAGTTTTATGTTAAATATATGTTTATATATAGTTTATAATATATAAAATACAAAATATATATTTTCTATGATATATATTATATATAAAGATTTACATATTATATTATATTCCTATATTTATATTACATGTATATTTTGTTCATCATTGCACAAGATTATATATGGAGAGAGATACTTAGTTTGAACTGGACTACTGCATGGAATGCCTTCTGAAGAGATTGTATGCCATCTCACTCCTGTACTTGGAAGCTGATTATGAATATAATTGGGTAGCTTATTATTTTGAAATGATATCTAATAACAGGAAATAAAAATGCTTTTTTCATAAAATATCTAGAGCAGAATTAGAGCATAGAAATGATGATTGTTCATTCATTTACTCTTAGCTTCAGAGAGCGCTAATGTTGCGAAAAGCTGAAATAGAAAGAAAATGGATATGAAAGAAAAATAAATTCTAAATTGTCACTCAGAGTATTTAAATCCTAGGGGTTTATCAACATTGAAAGAACAAGTACCCGCTGAGAGGGAAAATATTATTAAAACATGTTTGATTTTATTCTTGCAGGCTGCTCAAGAAAATTGTTGAAAATATCTCATTAAAACCAACTACAAGTTCTTTTAAGAATGGTTAAGTGTGTTAGTTTAATGTGTTTGATTTCAGTCATTAACATTTTTTTCTTATTTATACCCAAAAATCAGGCTAATCATGATGCAAATTTAAGATCTTATTTTTCCTGTTTTTGCACATTATTCAAGCTGTTTTGGTGTGTTTAAAATCTCAGTAAAATAATGAAGGAAAACTGCATGGCCGTGAAATCAGATAATTCTTTGATTCTTTAGTGCTGCTTTCTCATCCTAGCTGTATGATCATGGAAAAGTTACATGGCTTCTATAAGCCACAATTCTCTCAGGGGAAAAATGGGCCTGGTAATATCTTCCCTAGTGAGTTCTTGTGAGAAATAGGCTCAGACTGTATGTATGTGGTTAGAACACGGCACAGTGGATGTATCATGGTAGACACTCAAAAAATGCATCTCTTTTCAGTATTCTTATGCCTTTCTGGCATTCATTACTTAGTGCACATGAGATTTCTGCAAAATGTCTCTATTGTACTCAATCTTTCAGACTTACTACACTGCTGTCATTTTATTGTATTTGTGTATGCTGAATACTGGTAAAATACAGGTATTAATCTGTGTGCATAATCAATAAAACCAACTTATTAAGATATTCAGAGCCATATTTGAGCTATTTATATTATATAGTCATTTTTGGTCCCTGTCCATGCTCCTCTTGCAACATAACACGAGTTTTTTCAAGTAAGCTCTTTCCTGTTTTCCAAAATAAATTAAATAATTCCTGTATTCCCTCATAATGTGTACTCATTTTTCTTCATAGTGCCTTTTTCCACTTAAAATTTTATATTACTGTGTACTTACTTGTTTATACTCCATTTTTCCCATTAAATATAATATCCAGGCAGCCCGAATCCTGTATGATCTGTTTATTACCGTATGTCCAGTGCTTAGTAAAATGCCAGGAGATTACAGCCCTTAAATATTTACTGAATATGGAATCAAATGCAGCAATGAATTAAAGGAATATTTTCTCAATAAGTGTCTTTTTAAGTGAAATATAAAGCCCTAAACTGCACGTTTAACACAGTTGTAAAGACCTTGCTCCCAAGTGGCAGAAAGTGGAGTTACACAACGTACTTTGACATTTCCACAGTTAAATACATAAAAAGCCTTTCTTTTCCAGCATTCCTTAAATGTAACTGTTTTCTGTAGACCCAGAGGAAAAAGGAAAGCCAAACCAAACCCAACCAAAACATAAAACCTTTTCCTCTAAATTATTTCTCACACTGGAAGACACTGACTGGAAAGCTAACCCTATCAAATTCATTTCCAACTTTCTCTAGATACTTTAAAAATAACTTTTCAGAAAAATCCTCCCAGGGTTATGGCCAAGGGTTGTGAAATAGCAATGCTGTGAGGCACTTTGGCAATCTGTGAGCGTTACATATCTATACAAGTCTCTCTCCTCCTCTCTCTCCCTCTGGTTCCTTGGTATTTTGCACAAAAAGCTTCCTTTTTCTGGTTTATACGATAGCTTGATCAATTATTTCGGTATTCAGTCTCAGAATATAGAAATTATTACTGATTTGTTGTCTGCAGTTACTGATATGTTTATGTCATCAGTTCTCTTTCTCAATCTCTCTCCCTCTTGCGTTCTCTCTCTCTCTCTCTCTCTCTTTCCTCCCTCCCTCTTTCATTCTTTCTCTCTCTTTCTTTCTTTCCTACCTTCCTCTCTCCCTTCCTCCCCCCTTTCCCTCTGTCTTTCTTTCTATAGTTCTATTTATGTCCAACTAATAGAAAGAATATGAAATATATATCTTATCTAGGTTGAAAATTATATTTCCTTCCCTGAAACCAATGCATACATTCCCTGAGCCAATTCATCTCTCACTGTAAGCTCTAATCAGGTTTCCAAATCATAAGCACAAACAAAAAATGAAATAAATAGACCTAAGGCGAAAGGCAGAGCTCAAAAACTAGGGCACTGTAGAAAGAATCATTTGGACACTTTAGAAAAAGCAATGGCTTTCCCAGCTTCTAGTCTTTTCTGATCCTTCTCACATCCTTGCAGATACCTTACTGACAGAATGTGTTTTAGCTTCGTGGATTTCAGCTTGTCATGTATGAATATCGATAACTTGGTGCACCGTCAAAGCTCACGGACCCTGGGATGGAGGAGCTAGCATGTGGATTTGCTTCCCTGTTGCTTCTCCTCCTTTCTCCCCCACTCCCTATCTTTTAACTATTTTACTGTATTTCACACGTAGGGAACATACTTTTAAAGGAAAAAGTTTATCGATCTTTTCTTTATTCCTTGTAAAATCTTGGAGAAAATAGCAGTCAAAAATAGAGAACAGAGCCAATTTGAAGATTAAATATCAATGTTTTACTTACTCAAAAGATCTCATACGTTTTCTTTTTCCCCGACCAAGTAAAAGTTAACTGTTTTTTTCTTTATTTTAAAACTTAAAATTTTCTTTTGAAGAGGAATGTCTTCAAAATGAAAACTAGGCTGTATCAAGTTTCTTTTTTAAACAATATTTTTGTAACCCTATTATTTTTTATTTTTATTTTTTGCAGGGAAAGATTCACCCTGAGCTAACATCTGTTGTCAGTCTTCCTCTTTTTTCTTTCTCCTCCCCAAAGTCCCAGGGCATGGTTGTATATCCTAGTTGTAAGTCCTTATAGTTCTTCTATGTGAGCCACTGCCACAGCATGGCAACTGACAGGTAGTTTGGTTTCACCATTGGGAAACAACCTCGGGCTGCAGAAGTGGTGAGAGCGCTCAACTGTAACCACTAGGCCATCAGGGCTGCTCTCAAGTTTGTTTTTTTTTAACTCTGTTTCCTTTTATACCTAAACATTAAATCAAAGTAATACCACATTTTTTCTTCTCATTTATTCACGCAAACTATTTACAGTCTATGAGAGCTAAAGATAAAGGGTGTAATGTTGAAAGATGAACTACTGGCAGGCAGGTCTTTTGCTGCTTTTTATCAAACATGTAGCATTGTTCTTGATGTCTACTTAATAGCACTTCAATAAATATTTACTAAATAAAGGAAGTAAGAAAGGAAAGGAGAAAGGAAGGAGGGAGAGAGAAAGAAATTAAAGTGAAGGAATGAGATTATGGAAGAATGGAAGAAGGAAACCAGGGAAAGACAGAGTATTAAAAAAGCTATTGACATGAAAATTACAATAATATTGAGCAGTTCGACGAGTATTGGAACTCCTTATCTATCAGGAAGAGAGTTTGCATTTTGGAAATAATTTCTAAAAGAGCTTTTAGGAGATAGTATTCCAAAGAGGAAAATAGCTTCCAGAGTTAAGTTAAAATTACTTGGAAAAAAATCTAATTAGCTAAAAAGTCTGTAGCATGTTTGTATTTGAGAAATCAGGCTGCATACTAATTTGAGAAGTTTAGATGACTGTCTAGTCCTGATGTCTGTGTTCAGCCTGTAATATTCTCCATGTAGTTAAGATCTGCTCTCCTCCACAGCGTGCATGTTATATGAGGGTCTAAAGAGCATTAGACTACAGTGTATGGAGTATGAATACCTGATTTCTAGCGCAGACTTTTATCTATATAACTTTCCAAACTTTAATGTGTTCATCTGTGACTTCGCTTGCTGATCTTTTGTCAGGCTCAAATGATGTAACATATAAATCCCATCATTACAGAGTCTCCTGTGGTAGCTGCTCATAATGAAACAATATAAATGAAAAGCTTATCTCTAAAATCTTGCTGTTATTAAGACTATCAAGGAAGATACGGTCTTATCCCTATAGTTTTGATTGATGTGAAGTGTGATTGGTGAAACAGATTCCTGGTTCCCAGACATACTATAAGAATTTCTAGGAGTCAGGTCCAGGAAT